CGCACGACGCAAAGCCTTCGCAACCATAAGGCTAATACTATAGTTACCCGCAATTAAATACTTTTATAAATGCATGTCCACATGGGCGTCGCCAGGATTTTTTTTTAGAGGGGGGCAAAAAAAATTTTGCCAAAAAATGCTTGTATTTCTCAACACATTCTCGATTTATCAGTTTTAGAGGGGGGCAGGGACATTTTGCCCCCCCCCCCAACTCATTAAATTTACACCACTTTGTCTTCGCGCCTCTTTTTCTTTTCTTTTTTTTTCTTTTTTTTTTCCTTCCTTATTTTTTTTTTTTTTTTTTTGCTTTTCCAGGGGGGGGGCAAGTGCCCCCCCTTGCCCCCCCCTCGCGACGCCCATGCATGTCCAGTATGACGAGAATCTAGACCTCCCAAAAAAATGCACGTTCCTTTTACTTGCCGCCCCCGCCCCCCCGATTTACCCAAGTGCCCCTTTTGCGGACATAAATGTGCCCCCTCGAGATGAAAAAAAAAATGCCCTGAAAGTTCGACATTTGTTTGAAGTAACCACTTCCCAAAATGGTATAGATAGTTTCCTGATATGAACAAGGAATATGAAAACCAAGCCTATTAAAAGCCTCACAATGCGCCCTGAAAATGGGCACATAATGCGTAGTTTGCTGCATAATGGCCGGTTTTAAAGAGCGCCCCTTATTTTGGAAGATGGTACAGGCCCCCCCCCCCCCCCCCCCCCCACTATTTGATTTTACGGAGGCCAAGTGTCCGTTAAAAAGTCTTATTTCAGAATCGTGGACGCATAAAATCCCTTATCTTATCCCCAACAATAAGATAAATAATATCCCTATCGAACTATATATGTGCCAAAAAATACTTAGCAAGTGCCCCTCCTTCCCGCCTCCCCGGGTTTGAAAACCGTTCCGCCGCCGCTGTCAAAAGGGGAGAACTTCATGCTATTTACCCCCCAATATTTTCTAAAGATTGCCCCATATGTTGAAAAGAGTGCCCTGTTTTTATTAAATGCCCTTTTTTTCTGAACAAGTGCCCCTATTAAACACAAGTGGTGCCCTTTATTGTGCCATTGGCCGTTCCAGGTGCTTTTTTCTTTCAATTTTACGCATGTATCGCCCAAAAAAACACCATATATTGTCCGTTAGTGTCCTAGACATAGTTCTTCATGTCTATGGTTAGTGTGCATAATCGTCGGTTTTAAACAGCGCCCTCGTCGAGAGATTGGTACGAGACCAGCCCCCCCCCCCCCCCCCCCCCCCCGCTTTTTGATTTTAAGGAGGCTGAGTGCAGAAGGGAAAAACGTGTCTACACTTCAGCACGGATGTGCAAGTGCCCTTTTCCAAATTTCTTTTAACTCCCCCCCAATCAAAATGACCTTGCTACGCCATTGTTCATTCAGAATGAAGTATATAAGCCTTACAACAACGGCGAGGCTGCATGCCAGGGGGGCAGTATATATATCACTGTATATACCGTTGCTACGACTTCATCGATTGATCTCCACTACCGTTGGAACAAACTTTTGCCAGGGGGTGCTGGAATTTCTAAAGGACGGACAAAATTAATGGAAAGTGCAGCGCAAAGCCCACGTCGTGGCTTAATTTGGAATATGGACTGGATGCTCTGTGGTGCAAACTGAGGCGCTTCCTGGCCACTTTCATTTGACTTTTTAGCAAAAGTTTTTTGAGATTATAAAGACAATTTATTTCATTATTTTGTTTAGAATATACTGTTACTCTTAAAACGTTTAGGTCTAACTGCACTGAAAAGTGGAGAACCCTGTATTTTTTTTTTTTTATCTCCATAGGCTATTTGGTTCCATTTAATTCTGGAAAAAGAATTGTATCATTATGCATGACATCGCATGTAAATATAATTGTTGCAAGGCTGCTTTCTTACATTCAGTAAATACCTTCGTGAGTTCGTGTTTGTTTTGTTTTATTTTCTGAGCCCTTACAACGTGGGGCCACAGGGCCAGGGGCCCGCTTTCAGGCCACGGAAAATGTTGGATTCTGGATGCACTGTGATAAAATAAACTGAAGTAAACTGAAACTTAAAAAACCCGAAAGGATGTTTTTTTGGTTCAAGTTAAATAAATGGTTCCACTGGAAGCGGATGAATTTCTGTTCATAAAAATATTCACATAGTTCTAACTCACGAAACGATGTAGCTCTCGATATATTTGCATTGTTATTTGTTTGTTACAGGGAATGGCAAATATAAAAGACTAAAAGAACAAATGTATCTTTATGTTTATGATCGGTATATGGCAAGTGTGGGGCTAGGCAAGGATTTATCGGTGTACTTTATGAGTTTTTATGAGGAAAAACTTGCGGAGGGTAAAACATGAATAGCTTTTTTATTAAAACGAAACTACACTGCAATTGGCCGCATGCATATGACTAGTTTCAATGAAAGCCCGTCCCAATCCTATTAGGTTGGGGATGTGTGTTGAACCTTGCTATTTGTTAATTTTGAGTACATACAGAATGCTAGCAACGTATGAAACCTTTTAAATGAATAGAAAAACCTTCAGGGAAAGGTATGAACATTTGCCCCTTTTGAAAGCTCGAATTAACATGACAAAATCCTGGCAAGCATAATCAACTTTGCCACCATTGCATGGCCGAGGTTATGCTTTCGGGTCAAAGCTTCCATCATGGCGGAAATATCATAGACACGTCATGATTTTAGATGTACCTTGAGAGAAGTATCGATTCTGCACTGCCTGCAGATTTAGAAAATACCTCCTCTTGATATTTTACAGTGTTTGAGCTAGACGTTCGAAACGAACAAAACGAAGGAGATATAAATTTTGTAGAGCAAGCATAATGTGTAGCGTAGCGGCGCAATTTCATCGTTGTAGAACACTGCTGGCTGGAACACATTTTTGCCTGGGAGTATAAGGATGCAGAAGCATATTCCAGCACCCCAATCCAAAAAGTTAGGGTGCTGCAGCACCCACAACACCCCCGTTCCCGCGGGGTTGTTGACCTCCGGACTGGGATTGGATTTCTTGATGTGTATGCCTAGCCTATACGTTTGTTTTCTTTTCATATTGCCTTTAACTATATAATAAACTTTTAATAGTGCTTATGTAGCTCCTGTGGGTTTGACTATTCTCTGTGGTCCTTTAATGAAGGACTATTCATCTGCACGAAAACTGGATAGGCAAAAGAAATCGCCATAATTAAGCCAATTCAGAGCTGCACGAAATCGGATCGGGGCATTGAAGCGTCGCCGGAACGAAAGATCGGAGTGCATTGTTGCCACATATATCGTTCGATAGGGATATTCTTTATCTTGTTGTTGGGGATAAGATAGGGGATTTTATGCGTCCACGATTCTGAAATAAGACACCGCTCTTTTGGGCAATTGATTTGGCTTTTGGAGTCCACTGCTTTAATATTCATTTGAGCTGAATCAAATTATACATTAATACAATTGTGTTTTAAATCAGTCGGTCAGTCACTAACCAAATATATTTAAACATATTCCCTTACCAACTGATTTAGTTTCGATATGGTCACGGGCGTCGCCAACACATTCTCAACACATTATCAGTTTTAGAGGGGGGCAGGGACATTTTGCCCCCCCAAACTCATTAAATTTACACCACTTTGTCTTCGCGCCTCTTTTTCTTTTCTTTTTTTCTTTTCTTTTTCCATTCTTTTTTTTTTTTTTTCTTTTCCGGGGGGGGGGGCAAGTGCCCCCCTTGCCCCCCCCCCCGCGACGCCCATGGATATGGTAACAATCCGTTTAACCTTATCATTTTAAGGTTTCCATAATTTATGAATACAAAAAACTCGTAATAATTTGTCAAGTACATGAAAGTATGCTATTTAGAAATACTTTCCCTATTTCGTCTTTCGATGAATGTATATTCATTCTATACAAGATAAACTGTTTAACAACAAATATCTAATGAAAGTTTTCAGCAGGCAAATTCGCCTTAAATTCGATGGGACCGCTAAACAGATCGCCTGTTATATTTTAAACGAATATACAGTGAAATGTCGAAAAACTCTGATAACTCAAAACAACTGTTCAAACAAAGAATCCATGCCCTTCAGTATTGTAACAATGATATACAACCCTGCCTAACTGAAAAGTCTGCTGAAGTCCAATTTTGCACATGTTCATTTGAGGCTTGACTTAATTACATCATGGAGGAATAAGAACACATATCAAGCATAAACATCTCTGTCTGGTAGGCGGGCCGGGAGGGAGGTGGTCAAATGAACGCTTGGCTTGTGCCGTGCTCTCTGTTGGGCAGTCAAGACGAAAGAGAAACGCATGCTCATACGCGTCCTTATGAGACTCAGGCTTTTGTTGTTATAGACGCAGAGGACTACAAAACCCATAACAATAGTTATGTTTCCCCCTGGCGGGTTTTACTAAAGATTGTTATGTAATCTCCCAGACAGTTCCCCTTGCAGCTGAGAGAGTACAATCTTAAAGACTAATAAAAATATTGGGAATTCACCCGCTGTGAAAGAAGGTGCTCGTATTCCATAAATAAGATTAATACTATATCTAGATTAATCTTTTCTTTGTTGTTGTTTCTTTAATTTTGATTAAATGTTTCATGTTTTGAAAAGAGAGTGCATACTTTTCCTTCGATCATGTGATATGGGCAAATCTTGTACCATAACGTTCAATGGCTACAGCAGAGACTTGCAAGACACAGCATCCAAGTGACCCTTCACGATGTGGTAATAATAATCATAGCTCCATGATACAATGGAGTAGTGCTGGCGTCCTGGAATAAGTAAAAGTGGTTGCTGCTAAAGCTTATGTTAATTACATGTATTAACCTAAACTTGTAAAAGTGCTCTAGCTTACCATTTTTTGGGGCATTGTTTTATTTTGCCTGAGCAGTCCATCGTGTTCATAGCCTAGTGCTCTTATTCCTCCATGGCCTAACTAACTCACGGAGTGTCCACCAATTAGCACCGTATACGCGTATTTGATGTTTGTGATGGATTTGAGCATATTCTGTGTAAACAGGAATGTGTTTTCAGTGTGAATAAAACTAAACGACAATTGACTCACACAAGTTTACTTCACTCCATCAATGTACAATGAAGGTCTGGTATTGCAATACATGCGGTCACCCAACCTTACATGTACATGCGTGGGCAGCAAGTGGACGTCTTTGTGGCCGTAGATGTGTTTTAAGGAGTATACTTCAGTAGCATTGCAGTTCACATACCAAAATGACGAAGGTCGCAGTTTTCCTATCGCTTTGCTTTGTTGCTGTGAAACTGGGGTTGGCTCAAAACTACGATGATAACCGTGCTAAGGTTCTGATCATCGGCGGAGGTGCGGCAGGCTTGCAAGCCGCCAAGGAGTTCCACGACCAAGGTATGGATGATTTGATCATTATCGAAGCTGCTGATTTCTTCGGTGGGCGAGTCCACGATGTTACCTTCGCTGGAGTGCAGGTTGAGGCTGGGGCTAACTGGGCCCAGCCCCCGGGGACCGAAATCATCGACTGGGTCAAGAGACTCTCCATCCAGTACCACGAATCAGACTTCGACTCTGTCATCATCCGCAACGAGACCGGGCACGATGTGAGCGAAGAAGCTGATCCGATCTGGGAAGATATGGAACACGCCTTGGAACGATTGGAGGAGATCGGTAGCGAGTTAAACGAAGAGTGTCGCAAAGACATGTCCCTTCGAGCCGCCCTTCGTCTAGCCGGCTGGAAACCCACAACACCAATCCATAAATCCATCGAATTCTTCGACTTTGATTTCGAGTGGGCAGATATCCCGGCCGTCACCTCCCTCAAATCTACTACTCCTATCCAGACAATCTCTGCCACAGGTGGCAACTTGTTTGTCACTGATCAGGGCGGCTTCAAACGCATCTTTGAGGAGATTACACCTTGGCTTATGATGGATGCTTACAAGAATCATCTTCGCCTGAATAAGACTGTGGTGTCGGTCACCGATAAATCAAGTAATGGAGTGGAAGTGAGGTGTGCAGACGGCACCGTCTACACAGGAGACCATGCCCTTGTCACGGTTAGTCTTGGAGTCCTGCAGAACGACGTCATTGACTTTCAGCCAGCCCTCCCAGACTGGAAGATTGTCAAGTTCTTCCAGTTCATCATGGCATCCTTTGCCAAGGTCTTCATTAAGTTCCCAAATCAGTTCTGGGATGATGATGAGTGGATCATGTATGCCAGCGAGCGTCGTGGCTACTTTCCCGCTTTCTCTAACCTGAACGCTCCTGGACTCTTCCCGGCTGGTACTAACATCCTCGTAGGCTTCGTGACTGGAGATGAAGCCCGCAGGATCCAGAACCAACCCCTGGCCGAGACCAAAGCTGAAGTTGAGGCTGTGATGCGCAAGATGTATCCTGATGCCACAGTCCCCGAGGCTACAGATATCTACGTGACTGATTGGGACACCAACCCGCTTCACTACGGCGCCTACTCCAACTGGCCGGTAGAGATCTCCACCGAGGGTTTTGAGCAGATCCAGTCCCGAGTTGGGAACATCTTCTTTGCTGGCGAGCATACCGATCCGATGTTTAATGGGTACATCATTGGGGCAACTCGTAGCGGTATACGTGAAGCTGAGAAGATCATGGCCTGTATGAATGGGGAGGAATGCCCGGCTTACGAACCGCCTGAGTCATACTCCTGTCCTGCCGAGACTACCGGTAATGGCAACATAATAACGTTGTCTTTCATTGGAATCTGCCTTACTGCAACACTCCACGCTTTCATTGCTTTGTAACCAATTCATTGAAAATGAGTCAGTTCCGATAGGTACATTATGATCCAACTTAACACTCGCATTTATCAACATGATAGTGGTTCATAAAGTTTATTTTGGCTGAGATTGTGCACTTTTCTTAAGGTAAGACACTTGCCATGAAGGAATTAGCTCATGACAAAATTTCATTCTTAGGGGCGGGTCTTTCCATTTCAAGCGAACAAAGAAACCAACCAATTGTAATAGTTGGAGCGTATGTTTCTGGCACTGTTTCAAATTTGTATTTCACTAGTTGCATGGCACATCATCAGCTTAATTTGAGGTTGATTTTGTCGTTTGTGATTTTTCTCTTTTTGCTTGAGGAAAGTTTGCTGCGAGCACCAGGCACAAAGTAGGCCCTGTGCACAATGATTTATTATCTATGATGCTATTTCGTAAACTTCAAGGATCACTCCTCAAAACACATATGTCTGAAAATCGTTTACAAACTAAGAAACAAACTGATTTTTTGAATGGACATTTTCTAGGGCTAATTAAAAAAATATGGCCCAACAGTTTGGCAAATATCCACAAACAAATTACTTCACGAGTAGTTTCTGTTGGTTGAGTGTGCCTTTTTTGGAATTTTTTTGATGTGGGTTTAGTATCAAAGAAATTATTTGCGTACACACTTTTGTAGCATGCAATGCACCCATAGTTTAATCGTAGATGTTCTAGCAAGCCACAATTAGAATAATACACATTAACTTGCACGATTTCGTTTGCACAATAATGTTCAAGGCAAGCAAGGTACAGTTATTTTAATCTTTTTTTTGTCGCATCTTTATCTTTTCATTTTATTTCTTTATGGTTTTGTATGATTTTCGTACTGGAATCTCCACTGGGTAATGGGTTCTAAATTTGGGCAACAAATCTGATGAGCACTGATGTGATCTTCGCATTTGTATTTGTCTTTCTGTATTGTACGGATATCTCAAGACAATTGCTCTAACTTGGAATCGATCGATGGTTCCCTCCCAACACAAGATCTATATATTTTTCTGGTATTTGGATTTCAACTGCAAGCCAGAACCATTTGTTTTGAAACCAACGGAGCAAATAAAGAATATGTCAGTCGTCACTCTTCCTATGCAAGTCTTTTAAAGTCTGATCTGCCCAGTTGATTTATTTGTAAAAATGCTTAGTTTAATAAGGATCGTCATTACTCTACCGATGATGATTGAACTACTATGGGCCACGACTCCCTTTTTAGGACATTATTGAACATTACACATTTTGTTCCTCTCGGGAGAGGTACAAATGTATTTGGTTTGGGTCAAGATCTAAATTGCTTTGAATTGGACTTCACAAATGATATTGGCTTTTGAGTGTATTCTCAGGCAGCGGCATAGCCAGGGTTCTCATCCTGATGGGGGATGGGGGGGGGGGGGTGGGGAGTGGGGGTCTGAAAATAACAGTGGAGGCGCACCCAGTTTCATCCGTGCTGAAAGGTAGATTTTTTTCACCGCACATCCGGCCTCGTGAAGGGGGGGAGGGGGGCTGCGCACCATTTTCAAATAGGGCGCTACTCAAAACCGAAATCATGGTCAATGTACAATAGGTTGGCGGGGGCGAATTTTTTTTCCCCAAACGACATCCGTTTTCAATCTTCTGATTGGTCCATTACATGCATATTTAATGCAGCGTTCTCCTCGACACAAACCCAAGAAAGGCTTATGTCTTGTGAGAAATGTTTTCCCTTTTAAAAGGTAAAATGAGAAGTAGCGAAAAATGCTCACTGAGATTCGAACCCGGATCACCTGATTAGAAGTCAGGACTACTTCCTACCGAATCAGCTGCCAATCTCGGTGAATTAAAACACCATTATTCCTTGTTATATAACTTATTCTCTAAAGCCCTGGACATCATGAATATGCATAACGCAGGGAGAGAGCCCTCTTTTGATATTGCTCGTTTGGGAGAAAAAAAATGGGGGGGGGGGGGACACCATTTCTAATTGTGGGCGGTATGCAAAACCGAGATCATGGTCAATGCCAGACAATAGTTGGCGCTATTCGCTTTCCACGTACGGGACGTTAAAATGAACAGCCAGTAGGAAAATAAGGGTTTTCAGGAAAAATTGACACAAAACGTATGCAATACGCACTGTACTTTTTTTGAGTTGGCAAATTTCCAGCGGGGAAGGCCCCCCCCGTTGGTACGCCGCTGTTCACGGGGTCAGAACGTTCTCCTGACGCCGACATAATGCTGAATGACTCGATCTACGCCTCTGTTGTCGACTCTCTTAATTTGAAATAATTAAGAGAGTCGGCATCTTTTGACATATTCGAACTTGCCGATGCCATCGAATCTTAGACGGCAGCCCAGTCCGTGGGCTGGGCCGGTCCCAGTGCCCCCCCCCCAGAACCCACCGCCATCGGTATTTTTTTTTATATCTTTTGCAAGTCCCCTTTAGGAAAAAAATGTTAACAATGAAAATGTAGGGATGCACTCTCTCAGGAGGCCAAATTTTATCTGCCTCTGATTGAGCGTACATGCATTTTCTTAGCACTAGGGTTGGAAGGTGAAGAAACAAAACAACTTCCAAACAAACAAAATTAGCACAATTAATCTTCATGAATAGCTGTTTCAAAAAGATTTTTGGTTGTCATGAAAACAAACTTGAGAGGGCGCTACAGTCAAACGAACTATATATACATATTTTATTTTGAAAATGATCCGGATAATGTCTCATCTTTATTATACCTAAATCCACGTTTCTAGTTTTAGTTTTCCTTTTATTTAACTGGCACTAAGATTGCAAAATCATGAAATCTCTACTTATTGAAATGAATGTATTATTCTACTAATCCGGGTATAATGCCCTCTATAGTCGGTTTCCATGAAAATTGAATCAAGACATTTTCTGAAAGATATATATTACACAAATATTGACTGCTTCGAGTGGTGTAGTAAAACTAACCTCCCGAGGTGATCCATGTAGCATTTTATTAAATAGAATGCTTCATGGATCACCGAGGGAGGTCAGTTTTACACCATAAAGCAGTCAATATTTGTTTTATAACACCTTTCCAACAGATTCTGCTTGTTTTTAAGTGATAACTGATATCATTAATTTAATCTAAATTCAATTAAAATGTACTTCAAATTGAATACGAAAATAGGTGAAAGTTTACTCAAACTTCTCCAAACTACCTCTTCACGAAATGTTTGAACCCAGCTAGCTCTGTAGCGCCGATGTAATGCTGAGTGACTCGATCTAGACCTCTGGCGACGACCTCCTTAATGTGAAGTAGGTGTGCCGTGTGCGCCCTCTATTGACAAATTCAGTCCTGCCGATACCATCAAACCTTGGGCAGATTACTTTGATAAACGGTGTTTTTTTAATGAGGCATTGTTTAATAGCAGCAGTAGCCTTGATGCATTAATTTACTGATGTATACGGCAAGGCTAAAAAGAATGTTTGAAAAAAAGATCTTCACCTTGAGTATTTAAACGTGGGTGCAGCCGGGCAAATGCCAAATCTATGCATGCCTAAGAATTGGACTTATCAGACTACAGGGAAGAATCATCAACCCATGAAATGACAGAAACTAAGAGACTGTACTAACTGTCCTCCCTCCACCCCCCCCCCAATGGATTTTTAGTGGTTCTGATAGAGGAAGACATGTTCTATCAAGTCATTTTCATTTAGTTGATTTTCGGAATGATACATTAGTACATAAATCTGGTCAAAGGTCACGATATCATATTAAAGGTCACGTGACCTACTTTTGACAAAATTTAATTTTGACAAAAGAGTTGATTTGAGCATGCAATTTTTATTATTTTGATACCAAATTCGCATATATTCGATGAAAATTGACATGGTTTTGACATATTTCTACCAAAAGGGTGGTATTTTACTCTAAAAATTTCTGTTTTTTTTTGTTTCTGCCCTGACCATATGGTAGGTCGAATCAGGCTAAAAATTGGTGTGCATTCATTGCTCATCAGGACCTACAAGCACAGCAGTTTTTATCAAAATCGGAAGACATGAGGTAAAAAAGTGCGTTGGTCTGACATGGAAAAACATACTGATAGCAAGAATATGTTTAGAAAAGTGATTAATTGTTAAACACAGTATTTGCAGTGTATCCATTGACAAAACGCTCGTTTCGGATTTGTTTTTTAGTTTGAGATTGACAGTCAATTGCAAAACTCAAAAAAGTTGGGCTGGAATTATAGCCCGCTCGCGCTTAAGGACCCCGATTTTATTTTTGGATTTGAGATGATCTGTGGTGCGATCTGAGGCAATATCTGATCACTTTAACCTTTTTTTTAAGCAAAAGATGGTGGAGTAGGCCTGCGCAGTGCTTGCCGTTATTGCGACGTCAAGTTAAAATAATTGCGATTTTTTTAAGGGGGGGGGGGGCATGACCCCTGTTGGCCCCCCTTGATCCGCCCTGGATCCCGCAAGCTCGGTGATCGAGTTGTAAGACGTCTTTCGCTTGTAAGCAGGAGATCGTGGTCACAGTTCGAGTCCCACCTTAGTGATTGTTTTCCAACTTTCTCTCGGGAGGAAACACACTGATGTCGGTGAAGGGCAAAAACCTGTTAGGATTTACATCACTCCGACGCAAATTCCATCTTATGAATAGTTTGAGGATAAGGTTGAATTCTTCAGAGACAAACTTCAATAGCGCGCACACAACAGAGAACATTTAGCCATTCTTACCTATAAAAAGATGAGACTCTAGTGATCTGTAAGCAAGATAAAACCGAACAAAGATTCTGCTTGTCTTTGTTCTACCATACCACCCACAAATAAAACACCCAGCACTCAAGCATTCCATTCGGAAACCATGGCATTTGATCAGCGAAAAAAGTTATCTCAATACACTATTCGAGACCTAACCTATGCTTGCATACAAACGTCACAAAAACATAAGATATGACCTGGTTCCTTTTTTTTTTTTTTTTAGATCAGGAGATCTAGGGTCTTCTTAACAATGGATGGGATTACAATGTAAATATTAACGAATATAAGCCACTAATTCAACAGCTGGAGTTTTAAGTCATAGCGGGGTGTCGCGTGTATCCAATTTAGTCATAGTAGCCTATAGCGCGTAGTTAACAGCTGCTGAAAGGCTGATAAATTTGAATTTGAGTAAACGAAAATATAGTTTCACAATTTTTTCTTTCACACCGACGGAAAGTGCCTTTTTTCTGAGCAAGTGCCCCTCTTTGGTGATGCCCCCAGTTTGAAAAGCGTTCCGCTGCCTCTGTCCAGTATATATTTTTAATTCATTTATTTTCCGAAACGTAGCCCGAGATGACGTACGTAAAATCTGGATTAATTTTCGGGACTATTCCCCACCCCACCCCACTCCAAAAAATAAATATTTCAGTAAAAATACAGCGATTCGGCCCTCTCGCGGCAAAATTGTGTAACTTGAAAAAAAAGAAACTCATTTCGAGCAAAATCTGTTTTAAAGTTCAAGGCCTTCTATTTGGTTCCCCACCCCCCCCCCCCCATTTTTACCATCAATTAAACCAACTTTTCCACCACAGGTTGTAAAAAATGTGGTAAACATACAGTAGAAACTTCAGTTTCTTGTCTTTGTTTGTTTTTGAAAAAAGAAATTAAACTAGTTGCACCATTTTACCATTAAATATCACAAACAAAATAAAATGGGTTACTTTGGAAAAAAGATGTTTCTTGGGATAGCATATCCCATGCACTATTTATGATGGCACTTGACGATGTGCATAACGCGCTATGTAATAAGAAAAAAAAGGATAACATCTTATATACGCCCTTTTGCCTCGTCACATCAGGTACAATCTAGCACAAAACAGGATACAATGTCAATAAACGCCCTTTTGTCAAGAAACTGAATAAAACATGCATAATTTTGCTAGCGATACGCCCTATGTTTAAAACGGAAGGCGTTATGGACTTGAAAGTTCGTTAAATGGAAACAGCGCCCCCAATAACCCCAAAGTGACTTCATCTCAAAACGGCCAAAATTCAAGTTGTGCCGCAATTGTAAATTGTACCTGGTCAATCTGTACTTTAGTCAATCAAACAGAAAAGATGCAACCAGTTAAGACCTATACATGTTCGTGCAGTACGTAAATTAAATTGTAAACGCATAATAC